CTCTCTGCTATGGCCAGGGAGTGCAGTGGAGGATGGCCCAGGTGCTTGGGCCCTGCACCCCATGGGAGACCAGGAAAAGCACCTGGCTCCTGGTTCCTGCCAGGATCAGCGCGGTGCGCCGGCTGCAGCGGCGGCCATTGGAGGGTGAACCAACGGCAAAGGAAGACCTTTCTCTCTCTGTCTCTCTCTCACTGTCCACTCTGCCTGTCAAAATAAAAAAAAAAAAAAAAAAAAAAAAAAAAATTAAAAAAAAAAAAAAATAAATAAATGTTTTTAAACATACAGGTTATATGAATAATTGGTGTAAAGCATTTTGTATAAACCCAAATTCAAACAGAGAACACACTGTTGGTTGGCACTCTTTCCTTCAGAACAGGCAAAGAGGGGATAAGAGCGCTTTCTGCTCCCAGCAAAACTTCCTTGGGGAGCATCTATCGCTGAGGTGCTCCAGGGTATCTGGTCCCTACCCCCAGCCCGGCCACTCACTAGAACTCCACAGGAAAAGTTCCCAGTATTTCTGACCAGCAATTTGTATACCTTTAACACACATTTTAAAAACACACTGGTTGTTTTGTTTTAAATCAAATTTGTTTGTTTAAATAAAATCTCAGCAGTAAAACTGGCAGCTGAGCCCACAATCTTCACCTGGGAGGCCCCTCCCTCCCCTGTGGTCCAGAGCAGCTTCTGGAAGGGCTTCACACCCTAAGGGCACCATTGTTCTGGGGCCTTGGATTTTGCCTCCAGGACAGAGTGAGGAGCTGAGAGGGCTCCCCCTCCACCATGGGCATCTCTCACCCAGTGCTTGTTTAGAGAAAGAAGTCAGGGCCAGAACCCAAGACTTCAGAACTCCAGCATTTATATTATTTTATTTTATTTTTTGACAAGCAGAGTTACTCAGTGAGAGAGAGAGAGAGAGAGAGAGAGAGAGAGAGAGAGAGAGCGAGAAAGGTCTTCCGTCTGTTGCTTCACTACCCAAATGGCCACAACGGCCAGCGCTGCCTGAGAATCTAACTCGGCTCCAATAGAAGAAGTTCTCAGAGAAATGAATATCATGAAACACCTATTCTTGGTTTCAAAGGTTTTTTTGCCCCAAAACATTTCTGAATTCCACTTTTCCACCGACACTGTGAAGTTCCCTGCTCCAGCATTACATGACCAGTGCTGTTTCCTCCCCCTACCCTTCCCATCTTTCCCCACACCCCCCACGTCTTCATTCTGAAGGGAACCCAAGACACTGTTCTACCTAAACTACTTCCAGGTACATTTTTAAAATGCAGAAAACTTTTTAAGGCAACCCCAAGTTGGGTTAATTTTTAAGCACCTGAGCCTTTGGGAAATCCTACCCCTGCATTCAGCCATTCGGTTGCCAGAGACAGTGACACCTGTAACACTAGAGGCCCCTGGACCACGAGCCTGCACTTCTGAAAGACGAAAGCTCAAACCCCCACAGAACACCAGGACAGAGAGAACCCAGCCTTGCCGACAAAGCCGCACACAGAAACTCACCATTGGAAGCCATGTCTGGGAGCCCTCCTGAGACAGTCTTCCTGGGCAGTGAAGTGAGGGCTGCTGGCACAGCGTTCATTTAATATAAACCTGAGATGGCCACCCTAGGCACACCTTAGACCCAGCCCTTGCCACACCCTACACACAGCTCCCCTTAGGCACAACTGGCTTTCCAGAATCTCCATTTTTAAATCATCACTTCCATTCACTGAACACCCATGGTAACTAATTTTCTCATTTAGCCCTGGCCAGGCCCCAGGTGATCTGCATCACTGACAGCACTGATAACTGAGAGTTTGGAGGCTGCTGAGGCCAGAGACTCACAGCGAATGAGGACGTTAAGAATATAAGACTGCAGGCATTGTGGCAAAGCTTGTTAAGCTGCCACGTAGGATGCCCCCAGCCCATAGCAGAGTGTGGGTTCCAGTCCCAGTTACTCTGCTCCCAATCCGGCTTCACACCAAAGTAGCCAGGGAACCAGCAGGTGATGGCTCAGGTGCATGGGCCCTATAGCCTACACTGGGAGACCTGGATGCATTTCTAGGTTCCTGGCTTCAGCCTGACCCAGCTTTGGCTGTTGTAGACATTTGGGGAGTGAACCAGCAAACAGAAGGTTTCTCTCTCTCTTGCTCTCTCTCACTCAGCCTCTCAGGTACACAAAAATAAATGGTTTTCAGAAGTCAGCATAAGGGGCCAGCATTAAGGTATAGTGGGTATGGCAGCATCCCACATGGGTGCTGGCTCATGTCCTGGCTGCTGCACTTCCCATGCAGCTCCCTGCTAATGGCTTGGGAAAGCAGTGGAAGATGGCCCAAGGGCTTGGGACCCTGCCACCCACATGGGAGACTCAGAAGAAGCTCTAGACTCCTGGCTTTGGCCTGGCCCAGCCTTGCCTGTTGCAGCCATCTGGGAAGAAGATCTCTCTCTCTCTCTCTCTCTCTCTCTCTCTCTCTCTTTCTCTGTGTAACTATTTCAAATAAAAAGAAATCTTAAAAAAAGTCAATATAAGTCTAACATCATACAGTAATTAAATCATTGAAATAATTCATTTTATTCTCAAAACAGTCACCTCCATAGAATAGTTTGAGAACTGGATGTCTGAAAGGAGACAGCGGCTCAGACAGAACAAACTTAAATTATGTTGGGGAGCCGATGCGTAGCGGGTAAAGCAGTGGGTGAAGCTGCCGCCTGCAGTGCCGGCATCCCATATGGACACTGGTTCATGTCCAGGCTGCTCCACTTCTGACCCAGCTCTCTGCTATGGCCTGGGAAAGCAGTAGAGGATGGCCCAAGTGCTTGGGTCCCTGCACTGCATGGGAGGCTTGGAAGAAGCTCCTGGCTCCTGGCTCCTGGCTCCTGGCTTCAGATCAGTGCATCTCCAGCCATTGCGGCCAGTTGGGGAGTGAACCAGAGGATGGAAGATCTCTCTCTCTCTCTTTTTTTCCCCCTTCTTCTCTCTCTGTGAAGCTCTGACTTTCAAATAAATAAATAAATCTTTAAAAAAATTAAGTTGGCCTAGCCTGCTTTCCCTGGCCTTTTTTTTTTAAATTCCTGTTAAGTCAAAGTTCAGTACCTCAACACCATGAATTTCCACTAGATGGTGCCTTTCCCTCTTCCATTAAACTTGTTTCAAAGAATATTTTGACCAGGTAAATTCACTTGCTTTTATGCTCTCCCCAGCTCCAGGCAGTCACTTCTATTCTCATGCCATTATTTAGACATCACTGGCAAAGGTCAACATACCAGCTCCCACACTGCCCAATCGTAGGGTTCACCTTCTAAATCATCAACCTTTATTGGACAATCTCTCTTTTTCTACCTGAACAACTCAGGAGAGTTTTCATATTTTTCCTGTGGACCTTCGCTTCGCAGGATGTTCACGGAGTAGTGCATTGACCTTGCTTTGTTAAGATTTACAGGCGTTGCTGGGGCATAGTAGGCTGAGCCTCTACCTGCATCACCAGCATCCCAGTTCCAGTCCCAACTGCTCCTCTTCCGATGTGGCTCTGTGCTGTGGCCTGGGAAAGCAGTGGAAGATGACCCAAGTTTCTTGGGCCCCAGCACCCACATGGGAGACCAGGAAGAAGCTCCAGGCTCCTGGCTTTGAATTGGCCCAGCTCTTGCTGTTTTGGCCATTTGGAGAGGAAACCAGCAGATGGAAGACTTTTCTCTCTGTCTCTCCCTCTCTCTCTCTGTAACTCTGTCTCTCAAATAAAGAAATAAAACCTTTAATATTTTATTTATTTATTTATTTGAAAGCCAGAAAGAGAGAGAGAAAGAGATCTTGCCTCTGTTGGTTCACTCCCCAGATGTCCACAACAGCTGGAGCTGGGCCAAGAGAATGCCAAGAACCAGGAGCTTCTTCCAGGCCTCCCACATTGGTTGCAGGGGCTCAAGCACTTGGGCCATCTTCCACTGCTTTTCCCAGGACATTAGCAGGGATTTGGATCAAAAGTGGAGCAGCTAGAACTTAAACCGGTATTGACATAGCATGGAAACTTTACCTGCTACATCACATGGCTGGCCCCTGTACTGATTTTTTTAAAAATAGCTCTTACACCAGTAAGATCCCAAGGTAATCAGAGACAGACCTCTTAAAGGTCCCATCTGAGGTGCCAACTTTTATTGGAGTAGGGGGTGCCAATTATATTACCGTTTGCTTCTTAATGAATTCACAATATTAATGAGCATCATGGGTTCTTGCCTAAGAAATCTGGATTTATACCAAGTACCAGGAGCCAGCCATGTCGAGGAAAATGTCTTCCAGAAAGGAAGGAGCAGGTGGCCCAAAGACGATGTGCAAGCCTGCAATGGTGAAAGAGACAGAGGGCCAAAAGGGCTGGCCCACCAGGTCCCAGGCCTTTAATCAACTTCCAAAGGGGAGTGGTTAATTACCCTGATAGGCAGGTGGGCACAGGGGTGTGGTCAGGTAGGGGCATACCCATCCTGCTCTGTAGACATCTCATCACAACTCCTGTGGTGCTACTGGACAGCCCTCTACTGCTGCACTACCTGTGAATTTACATGTGGGAGAGGAGAGTTCGAGTCCTGGCTGCTCTGCTTCCAACCCAGCTTCCTGCTAATGTGCCTGGGAGGCAGCAGATGGTCCAAGTACTTGGGTTCCTCTTCTCCACACGGGAAACTCAGATGGAGTCTTCCTGACTGTGGCTTCAGCCTGGTGCTGGCCCCACCCCAGCTGTTGTGAGCATTTGGGGAATGCACCAGAACATGGAATGGTTGTCTCTGTCTCTCTCTCTCTCTCTCCCTCCTCCCATCACTGTCACTCTGCCTATGGTAACTAAGAGTATCTAAAACATTATCTATAGAAGTGAAATTGCCACTTTGAGATGCAATGATGGTTTACAGCCCTTGTCTCTACTGTTTGTTGAACTCGTTACTTAGTGTAGGGATAATGAGTATAAAGTAAACTGAAAATAAATCTTTGTAAAAATTAAGATTGGGACTAGGAGAGGGAGGAGGAAGAAGTGGAAGAAGTGGGAGCGTGGGTGGGAAGGATCACTATGCTCCTAAATCTGTATATATGAAATACATGAAATTTGTATACCTTACATAAAATTAAACTCGTTGCTGGAGGTCAGCCTTACCCTGATACTCAAGCCAGACAAGAACACAACAAGAAACGATAGGTGAAAATCTCTGATGAACATAGATGAAAAATTTTAACATACTGCCAAATCAAAACTGACAGCAATCAAAAAGATCCATCATGGTCAAGTGGTCATAGTTCAAGGATGCCTATATGTGGATGCCAGGGCCACAGGTGGTGGCCCAGCCCACTGAACCCAGCGCCGGCCCCTATTTATCGTTCTTTAAAAAAGATTTATGTATTGGAAAGACAGCGTTACAGAGAGCGACGCTTGGAAAGGATGTCCCCTACAGATAGTGACCAGGCCAAGACAGGGCTGGCCGGGCCACCACCTGTGCTTGGCGAGCCCAGGTCCCTCTCCCTCCTCGCGGGCTGGGCGGAGCTGCCGCCCAGGTCCGCCCCTGCTGGCCCCGCGTCCACCACACTAGTAGTGCAGCTGGCCGCGACACCAAGAACGGAGCTACAGCGATGGCGATGATGGCAGGCAACGCGGCCTGCTTCCAGAGGGGCAGTCTGTTCTGGTTCGCGGTCCTCACGCTCTCCTTTGGCTACTGCACGGTATGGGTCTCGGAGTTGGGACAACAGCCTGCAGCCAGCGCTCTGTCACCCAGGCGTCCGCCTCCACTTGGAGGATGGCCGCGCAGGCGCAGTTGCTGCTTGGATCCTCCCAGTAGAAAGAAGAGGAGAACACGGAAGGTGGCGCAGGCGCAGTCCACTGCCAAGGCTTTTGGCAGGTGTTCCAAGCCCTGCGAAACCAGTTGGCCTGGCTTTCCTCACGTGGGGGCGGGCACGACACCGCACCAGACCACTGAGAGCCATGGTGCTTGCGAACAGGAAGGCCAGAAGGGTTGCTACCGCCTACTTCCCTACGGCCAGCCATTGCCCTCGCTGGTCACGGGGCTGGGGCTGGGATACTTTGCGGTGAGGGGCGGGGCGCGGGCGCTGGTGTTTTGGCCCTCCCGGCTGTCGCAGCGCGAGGGGCGCCGTGGGAACGGCGTCGGTGCGCATGCGCACCGTGCGGTTGCCTAGGTTACGAACGCCAGCGGACGCTAAGCCGGGTTTTAGAAGGTTTAGAGTGTTTGAAGCAGGGGGAGTTGCTTGGAAAACAGCGGATAAAGCCAAGGGACGGCTAGGATTTCACTGGTGAGCAAGAAGCGGTGTGACAGCAGGACAGCTCTACTGCGGGGAGGAGTGACTTTCGTCTCACTTCCACGTTAACGAACGGGAAAGACGCCCGGAAACAGGTTGGGGTAAACCGGTATCATGTAGGAGGAAGGCGAAGCTATTTTGGATCTTTCCCGGGAGATCCTGGAACCTGGACGGGTGTCATTTCCACAGCGGCGTCGCTCTGACCACCTCCGCCCTCCTTTCACCTTGTGCAGGATGGAGGCGTGGGACTCTAGTTTTCCCGAGTGCCCTTTCTGTGCCAGGATCCCGCGACCCTGTTCGAACACACAAGCTGGGAAACTGAAGGTTCGAGTTGGAATTTAGTGGAACTGGCAGATGCCAGCCCCTCTCCACCGCGTAGTTAGGAGGCCGCAGTGATATGTTGTACTTTATTGGAATATTGACTTTAAACAGCATCCTGGGAGAAGTAGTGTTGCCTTTGGTGCAGATCTAAGTGGAGCACTAAATCTTGGAGGGGTTGACAGTGATTCACAGAAAGGCTTGTAACAGAGCCTGAGGAGGAGTTGGTAAGGTCACCACAAAAACCTTACATGAACGAGGAGTTGCTGTTAATCCTCCGCGAGTCTGATTTTCCGAGTGTGTCTGCGTGGTGTGCAAGAGTGGAAGAGCATGATTCTAACTGGGAGACTGAGCCCAAGCCACCGTTTGCAGGACAGAAGCTGGCCAAAGCACGCAGACTCCTACAAGTCTAGGAAATAATGTTTGGGGTGGAATTCATGAAAAATCGGATCCATTCCGGCTGAAAAGCCCATGAGAGTATTTCAGGCATGGAAAGCCAAGACACTCTGGCAAAAAAAAAAAAAAAGAAACAAAACAGCAACAACAACAAACAAAACCTAAATGAAAGATTTCTGTGAGTGAGATCCCAGTGGAAAGAACAGGTCTTCAAAGAAGGAGGTACCTTTCTCTGAAGGGAGGAGAGAACTTCCACTTTGGCTATGACCTTGTCTAAATAAGATAAGAGTCAGTGAACTCAAAAGACTTCCATAGCCTTGGCAACTCATGTCTGGAGCATAGAGAGATTACTGATGCCATAAACAGGAGTGTCACTTTGTAAAGTCAACAACAGGAGTCACTGTGCACTTTCTCCTCATGTAGGATCTCTGTCCTTAATGTGCTGTACATTGAGATTTAATGCTATAAGAAGTACTCAAACAGTATTTTTCACTTTGTTTCTATGGGGGTGCAAACTGTTGGATTCTTTACTTAATGTATACTAAACTGATCTTCTGTATATAAAGAAAATTGAAAATGAATCTTGATAAGAATGGAAGGGGAGAGGGATCAGGAAAGGGAAGGGTTGCGGGTGGGATGGAAGTCATTGCGGGGGGGGGGGGAGAAGCCAATGTAATCCATAAGCTGTACTTCAGAAATCTATATTCATTAAATAAAAGTTAAAAGAAAAAGAAAAATAGGATCCATTTCACGCGTCCATGGAGCCTGATCATCACCTCGTTTCTTCTGTGTAAGCTTCCATTGGAGCTACTTTTTACAAATAGAGGATGGAGATTCAGGTGCCCTCCTTCAGACCCTCTTTCACCGGTAGTTAGTTTGGTAGAATCGGTGTTCTTTCCTACCTGCCAGTCTTTCAGGTGCCCTAATGGTTTCTCTGTGCCTCTGGTTCTCTTTCAGTGGGCTGTTCTCTGGCCACACAGCATCCCTTATGAGAGCCTTGGGCTCCTGGGCTCGTTCACTCAGTCTCTGGTGGACCATCATCACACCCTCCTGCACAACAGGTAAGGAGAGCTGCAGAAATGACACGCTGGTCTCACTGGAGACCTTGAAGGCCTGCAGTTGCCTTTAGGTATTGAAGAGTGGCGCTAGTTCATGTCAGGCAATCTTTCCAGATATCTGTTAGATTTTATCATCAGACAGTCACCCCCTTAAACTAGACTGTTCCCTGCTGCCACTCTAACTGCAGGTGAAACTTCAAGCAGATGCATAGGTAATCCCAGTCACTCTGAGATGTCAGGAAGTCCAGTTGGTAAAGCCATAACCCATAAGCTTTGTTCTAAATCAGATCATCTAGTCTCATCGAGAAGGGGCTGAGGAGCCTGGCTTGGGGAAGAGGGTGCAGTTGGTGCCTTCTCTCTCGTTCTGCTTTTTTCCCTTGTTCCCCAGCAACAGCTGCTTTTGGACCCCTTGGAATGGTGGGAATAGTTAGGGGAAGTGTGGGGAGCAATCCGGACTGGACTAAGTTACTGAAATTAACTAATTATTAATTAATTATTCTATGCATCTGCTCTCCCACAATATGGCGCTGGGAGAGAAGTAAACAGCTTCCGCACAGCTGCCTCCAGTTCAGCTAATAAACTGTAGGACTTGCTCCTGATTGGAGAGCAGCGTACTCGGCGTGTGGGCAGCCGAGTTAGGATTGGCGGAGGAGGACTATAAAGGAGGAGAGAGACGGCATGCACCAGGAACATCTATGGGGAACATCTAAGGGAACCCGTGCAGCCCCCGAGAAAGCCGGCCGGCGGTGTGCCGCTCCCCTGCGGAAGTGGGGAATGTGGCCAGGGGGAACTGCCCTTCCACGGAGGTGGAAGGGATAGTAGCCAACCCGGGAAGAACCAGCAGCAAACCCGGGGAGGGCCGAGCGGACAAAAGAACAGCGCAGGGTCCTGTGTTGCTCCTCCACGAAGAGGGGGAGCGACATAATGGTGCCGTGACTCGGATATGAAGCCTAGGCAGGGCTTAGTGTCTTTCCTCCATGAAGAGGGGGAACGACAGGGAAGGTGGGTGTAGTCTTCAGTGGGTGCTGCCTGGGGACCAGGTGTCTGGGAGTTGGGTATGTTGCAGACACAGTGCTGACTGTTTGTCTCTGGGAGGTCCTCAGAGGGATCCTCCTGTGCAGTTCTCTATGGCTGCTGCACGTGCCTCCTCCAGCCTGCCTCTTGCAGTTCCATCCTTGGCATTTGTGTTTAGGGGAAATCATCCTCTTAGTGAGGTTACCTTTGTGTTGGGCCTCCAGGTCAGATTACCTTTTAACCCTCCCCACCCCCCATATCAAGTGCCCTGCTGCAAGACCTGCAAGGCTCACAGTAAGCAGCCTCCAGTTCTCCCCGTGGGACCTTCTGCAAGTGGGGTCCTCAGGGTATCCCTGTTCCTTTGCTCTCCCTCCGTGCAGGCTGAACCCATCTCTGTGCTTTGGAGTGACACAGTCGCCCTTTGCCAGAGTGCAAGGGGATTTCCAGGTGGCTTTGTAGAAACTCTTCTCTGGGCTTGAGACTGTGGTAGGAAATGCCCAAGCGTTCTGAGACTCCTTCCCAGTGGCCTCTTGGGCCTCCCTGAGGTCTTAGCCGAGGATGTTTGGCCCAGCCCTGCAGCTTGACAGCTCTTGTGACTGGCATTTGGAGCCTCTAATGAAAACCAAAAGACTGTGTTGTGTTGTACACTTCTTTGAAGGGAGAAGGAGAACAAGCCCAGGGAGGTTGCGTCTCTCTTACTGTGTTCCTAAAACCAGTCCTTTAAGGATCTAACGTGTTAGAATGTGCCATAGCTCACTATCAATCAGAATTAATACTCCTTTTGATTTGTGAGATCAATGAAAGAGTAAATAAATTTGAATGCATGAATACATGAAGACATGGTATAAATTTGGAGCTTCCTAAATCCTACTGACCAGGAATAACTACTTGTAATATTTTGTTGAGTTCCCTTTTTTTTAATCCATACCTGGTAATTTTTAATTCAGTCATCATCCTGTAGGAAAGAGTACTTTGTGCTGTATGTAGATACAGAACTGACCTTGGAGGTGGCAGGAAAGTAACATTTACTAAGCACCTTCCATGTGCCAGTCCCTAAACAGGAGCTCACGGACACAATCAGGCTATAAAATAATCTCTTAAATCCCATGTTTTAAAAATACATACCTTTCTGAATTTCTTTTAACCAGAGATAAGATTGGACTATATATGTTTGACTTTATATCTGCTATCATCATACAATTGATGACTATGCCAGTGTTTTATTTTGCTTTGTTTTGTATTTCATTTTAAAGATTTATTGTATTTATTTGAAAGAGTTGCACAGAGAGAGAAGCAGACACACACACACACAGAGAGAAGGGTTTTCCATCCTCTGGTTCACTCCCCAGTTGGCTGCAATGGCCAGTACTGCACTGATCCAAAAAAGAACCAGGAGCTTCTTCCGTGTCTCCCGTGTGGGTACAGGCCCAAGCACTTGGGCCATCTTCTACTGCTTTCGCAGGCCATAGCAGAGACCTGTATGGGAAGTGGAGCAGCAGGGACACAGCACCGGCCCTGCCATGGTGTTTGTTTTTGTTTTTTTCCGCTGTGCCATGTTTTTAAAATAACCTTGAAGGCAGGCACTTGGCCTTGCAGTTAAGATGCTACTTGAGGGACGACACTGTGGTGTAGCAGGTAAAGCCTTCGAGACCTGCAATGCCAGCATCTCATATGGGTGCTGGTTGGAGTCCTGGCTCCTCCACTTCCCATCCAGCTCCCTGCTAATGGTTTGGGAAAGCAGAGGAAGATGGCCCAAGTCCTTGGGCCCCTGCAGCTGTGTGGCAGACATGGAGGAAGCTCCTGGCTCCTGGCTTCGGGTTGGTGTAGCTCCGGCCATTGTGAAAATAGAGAGTGAACCAGCAGCTGGAGGACTTCTCTCTCTCTCTCTCTCTCTCTCTCTCTCTCTGCCTCTCCTCTCTCTGTATAACTCTGATTTTGAAATAAATAAATAAGAATCTTAAAAAAAATAAAAGAAACTCATGCCTTTGTCACATTCTGGTTGGCTGTTGCTTAGCCTTTCTGCATCAGTTTCCTTCCCCATCAAGGGAGATTAGTCTATTCCTTGTAAGACCTTTAAGAGGATTAAATGAACTACTCCACTGAATGCCCCAGCATAGGGCCAAGCAAAGAAATGTGAGCTTCCCTTCTCCCCCTGTAATGTGTTAGGGAAAACCCTTTTGATTAGGCCTGAGTGTTTGCCCACTTTTCATGTGGTGAAGTTTAATTAAATATTGAAGATATTTAACACTCTGCGTAGGCATCATTTAGTCAATGAACACCTGTTAGCTATCTGAAAAGGGCTCTAGAGGGCCCTAAATATCAGTAATTTACCAACTATTTGGGGTAATTTACTAACTATTTGCTTGTTCTTAGGGAGGGAGCCAGCTGGGGCCTTGGGGAGGAACCAGGAGGGTTGGGTGATACAGGGAGGCAGCTGGGGGCTCAGGAAAGCTGCTCACTTGCCAGCCGATGGAATGGACATGGTGCTGCAGAAGAGGGAACCAACCCCCTGGAAGGAAGATCCCATCTCCTGGTTTTCCGTCACAAGCTATCCAGATGGGCTGGATCGGTGACAATTCCAACGCCCACCCCTGCCATCAGGACAAGCCCTGGTCCCAGCTCCACCTGGATCCCCCTTCTCACCCTGGGGGCCCTCTCTGCCATCCTGTCCATCTCGACCAGGAAGGCTGTCTTCCACTGGGCCACACATGACGTGGGTGCAGGCGTTGCTCACTGTCCTCTGGGAGTAGGTCCTCATCTCTTCTTCCAGGCATCCCCGGGGCTGGGCAAGCAGGAACAGTGAGGTCAGGAGGAGGAGCAGCATGGCCTGGGGAGAAGAACAGAGAGGAAAGGACATGATTTCAGCTCTAGGACACGGTATAGGGCATGGCCCAGCTCCTGAAGGTCAGAAGCAGCCACTCCTTACCCCTCCCACTTCCTGCTATGGAGCTCAAAGCAGCCAGATGCTCAAAGTGATTTGGAGACAAGATGGGCACACAGTCCAGCCTCGGAGAGCAATGGGACTCTCACATGGGTTGATCACAATGTCCTCGTTCTCACGGCCCCCACGCCATTCTGCTTTTTCTTGGGCACTGCCATTGAAACAGCGGCCAGCATGGAGGGTCCTCACTGAGGCTGTGTGTTCCATCCCCAAGGACCCAGTGAGTGCTCCCTCCAGGCAGGACTTTTGCCTTCTTGGATTCTTTCACCTTCTCTGTAACAGGAGGTGGTTGGCTCAGCTCAGACAGGCAACCTTCTACTCCCTCACTGACTTGTCGCCTTGAGTGGGTTAGCAATGGCAACTCACAGTGTTGGAAAATGAATGGGGGAGGGGGGTGGGGTGGGAGGGAAGGGCACTGTGGCATAGCGGGTAAAGTCTCCGGCTACAGTGCTGACATCTCATATGGCAGCTGGTTCAAGTCTCAGATACTCCACTTCTGATCCAGCTCTCTGCTGTGGCCTGGAAAAGCAGTGGAAGATGGCCCAAGTCCATGGGCCCCTGCACCCATGCAGGAGGCCCAGAAGAAGCTCCTGACTTCGGGTCATCACAGCTCTGGCTGTTGCATCCATCTGGGAAGTGAACCAGCAGATGAAAGACCTCTCTCTTTGTCTCGGCCTCTACCTCTCTGGAACTCTGCCTTTCAATTAAGGAAGAAAGGAGGGAGGGAGGGAGAGAGGAAGGGAGAGAGGAAGGGAGAGAGGAAGGAAAGAAGGAAGATGAACCAGGGTTCTCAATGCCTAGTGACGTCTGACTGAGCTCAGTCTGCAAGTGCAGCAGCATATGCCAGGCGATTTGCCAGTTCTGAACCAGAGGTGGCCCCCAAGCAGAAGAAAGCCCCCGAGGGAACCCAGGGCACGTTTTCACCCAAGTTTCACCCACCAAGTTAGCAGCTGCAGAGACTCAGCCCCTGCAGTTCTTCCCAGTGTACCTGAGAGGGCTGGAAGAGGGGACTTATGAGGGAAGGTGATACACCAGGTGGCCCCGGCCAGGGGAAAGGGCTTGTGGGACGTATGAGCAACTACCCAACAGGACATCCAGTTACCACCTGACAGGAGATGGTAACAGAGCACAGGGTAAGTGCAGGACCCGGGCCACTCTCTGCATCTGGGTGTCTTCCTGCCAAAGAGAGAAACCGTGAAGTAATGAGGGTGGAAGTGGGAGTCTCAGAGGCTGGACACAGAGCCAAAGGGTGCCCTGCAAAGAAAAAAGGGTCAGCAGGCCAGCTCGGTCAATGTCAGGAGAGGGGCTACCTGGCCAGAGGCGCGCCTCTCCAACAGCTGATGATGTGCCATGTAGGCGAACCCTGTAACTCACGAGCCTCTCGCGCTGTTGAATTTGCCACCTCCTCAGGTGCCCCACAAGCCTCTAGAAACACTAAGCTGAGCTCAAAGGCTTGCACTCATCCCTGTAGAGCCTTCCTGATCACTCAGGGGCCGACCCAGGCCAGTACGTGAGCAATGTCCCCTGTCCCACAACTGCGTCAACTCTGGGACCTTGAGACTGATTTGGGGAAAAAATGAAAGCAATACACCTTCTCCCACCAGCTCAAGACGGCTCAGAAATGCCATCACCCATTGCTGAAGGAAGGATCCAGACACAGGCAGGCTCAGAGGTCTCAGACCTGAGATTCAGATGGATAAGGCAGCCACCGCCCCTCAACCCATGCAGGGTTCACTTTAAGCTAAGCCTCCAGAGTAAGATTTTATAGGAAAAAAAGGACTCCTCTGGACACATGGTTGGAAAGCCAGAGTCCTAATTCATTAAGAATCATTGTAAGTCAAGTCTAGAGGCCAAGAGAGAAGCATCGGGATGGGTGTTGAACCCAAGCCTGTGAATGCCGGATCTGTTTCTCCTCCACTTCTCTTTCTGAAGAAACCAGGAGCAGACAAGGAGCCAAGAGAGAAGGTGGAATTGCACTGCCCACCTGAGGCTTCCAGGCAAGAGCATCTAAGAGAGGGTGTCCCATCCTACTCACCCACCGCACCCCCGTTCAGCAAGCAAGTGCCCTGCTGGTTCCAGGCAGCTTAGTGGAGGGCAGACGGGCACCTCCCCAGCGCGTGTGCCCCCACCTCCCAAACCCAACTACAAGACCAGAAGAGCTGCAGACCCTCCTCCCTTCAACTCCAGCATGGTACACTGTCCAGATGGCCACAGGATATTCATAGGCCACAGGGAAAAGAAAACGAGACACTCACAGGCTGCTGCCTCTGGGGTCCCAGGAGCTCCAGACAAACTGGTGCTGGCTTGGCAGGTGTGCACTCTTTATGCCTGTCCTGTAAGCTGAGCTGCCAGGCCCTGGTCTTCTGAGAACTCCCTTCAAGAAGTGCAGGCAGTTTTCTTCCTTGTTGACTCACTCCCTCTTACCCCCAACTGTGTGCTAAAAACCTGATGCTGAGAAACAGAACACTTCCCACATCATCACGTTAGGGTGATTCCCATCTGCACCCCACTGAGGCCCTGGGAGCCCAAAACAACCCCCTCAGTGTCCGAATTTTAGAGATGTCCATGAATCTGAGGTCCAGACATTACTGAGTTGCACAATGACCTAGAGTGACTTCAAAAAGGAAGCTCACATCTGCAGATCTCAAGAGCCAGGGCCTGCCTTGTTCAATTTCTCTTCTCCATCTCAACAGCCCGGATTGTGAAAGAGCTGCTTGGCATATCCGGGCAGGGGTGAGGCAGGTGCAGGAGCTGCAGAAGCAGCAGCCTTGGGTGGGGGGAGGGGAGTGACTCATGGAGCTGCCACCTGTCCCTCTTTGGCAACCTGCTCCAGGCCTCAGAGAGCCCCCGTTTTCCTCTTGTGAGAGTGACTTCACAAGCAGGCCTTGACCTTGCCTTTGTTCAGACTTGTATTTTCCACTTCCTCCCCTGGTGTCTGCCTTGTGCGTTGAGATAAATTAGGACCCCTGAGCTGTGAACACTCTTGTCACAGACCTGCGTGAGGGAGCTATTAACTTACAGTGCTTGGGGGGTAGTGGTCCACCCTCTGCCACTGCTGTCATCTTTGCTCCTGTCTTGAGTCTTGTGACTTGATCTTTTGCATCAGTTTTGCCTAATTTTGCATGCAAGCAGACCTATTTCTCCAATATCCTCCCTTGACCACCCACAGGTGCTGCTCACTTGCTCCTGCCTTTGGATACTCCTGGTAGCATCTCCTTGCATAATGTTAAATCTACAATGTCACATTTCCCAGACTGGCAAAGAAAGGTGGTTTTAAAAAATATTTATTCTCTTTTTTTGAAAGGCAGAGTTACAACAGTGGCAGAGACAGAGGAAAATCTTCCATCCACTGGCTCATTCCCCAAATGGCAGCAATGACCGGTGCTGGGCCAGGCTGAAGCCAAGAGCCAGGAGCTTCTTCCAGGTCTCCCACAAGGATGCAGGGGCCCTCCTCTGCTGTTTTCTCAGGCGTATTAGGAGGGAGCGGGATCAGAAGTGGAGCAGCTGGGACTCAAACCCAGGGTCCACTCTGGCGCACGGCTCAGGTGGGGTGGCCTTGAGGATGGGTGGCAGTGGCCAAGTCTTCTCAGGAACCACTTTCCACTGGAGGACCAGGAGCTGAGCTCTGGGGTTGCCCCACAGGTGTCCATGGCTGATGCTTTGATAGGGCTCAGTGTGACTTTGGGACATTGTAGGAAGGGCATGCAAAGAGGAAGATGTGCCCCCCACCCCCACCCAGACTCTCCTGTGGGTCTGGATCACACAGTCTGTGTTGAGGAAACCATCAGCATGTCTGTGGCTGCTGTGAATCCACTGTGGTGGCAATTGGACAACCAGGCTCACCAAGCTAAGGGGGACCTCGGTGGAGATGGCGCACTTAAAAATACCTTCAAAATGTCCTCTAGGAGTTGATTTTGACCACATCTCACCTGAGTCAATGAATAATGCATTTCTAAGGTACACTATGTCCACCTGAAAATTCTGCAGTACAACCACCCTGCCAGCAGAATTCACAGAGGAACATGCAAAGACCTTAAAGGGGAGGCACAGAGCTGAGCAGGGACTGCCCCAACCCCTTAGCAGGCTCCCCATTGCAGCTGCCCGGACACACCTCACCCTGCTGTTCCTGATTCTGGCTCCCTGCTGGAAGTATTGCACTGTGCTGCACTGCACAGTGGGCCCCTTGGAGCCTCCACACACCAGACAGAGTGAAGGTCTGTAGTAGCCAGACGCAAAGTCCCAGTTCCCACCAGAAACAATTCTTGGGCTTTTCTCTGCACAGTTTCAGATGCAAGGTGCTAGGGCCAGAGACTCAGTGCCTGCTGCCTCAGGTTGTCACTGGGTGGTGCCTGACAACTCAAGTGACCAGGACAGGACCTGACACACTTGCACACTTCTGGTCACCATTGCTGCTTTGAAAGAGGTCGCGGGAAATGACTGGCTGGCTTTCCAGGGTTCTGTGCATAAGGAGCAACTGTGTATTGAGAAGGCCCCAAACTACAGGACAAATATGGCCACATGCCCACCCCTCTAGCTTGGAGTGGACACCTCTCATCAAGTCCTAGAGCAGCTCCCCTGCCCCTCCATATATCAGACAAAAGGGGTCCATTTGCCTGGGGAGTCAACAAATGATCGGTCTCCCACGGCAGTTCAAAGGAGAGCTTTATTGTGCCAAAGAGACTGGGAAAGTACAGCTCCCTAAAACTACTGCCTCTGTGAGAAGCCATTTTTGAGGGATTGTAGAGTGAGGGCGTGGCTGGGATAGAGGAAAAAGAGAAGCAAGAGGGCCCTACCTGCTCAAGCAACCCACAGCAGCACGCATCGTGTGTTCAAAACCCAACTCCTGCTGGGCTCTTACAGCTCTCCTTGCTGTGAGGCCCAATCCCTGGGGGTACAGCATTGCAAGATCACTCTTCTTGGAATATTCTTGGGAAAACAAGAAAGAGAATAAATTGTTAGATGCTGTGCCCCTGCCCATGCCCCTGCCTGTTGTCTAAATCCTACTGTCTGAGTTACAGAATTTTTTTAAAGCTGTATTTATTTGAAAGGCAGAATGACAGAGAGACAGACAGGCAGACAGAGTCTTCCATCCACTGGTTCACTCCCCCAAAAGGCCGCAACAGCTGGAGCTATACCAGGAGGAGGAGCTTCTTTCGGGTCTCACACATAGGTATAGGGGCCCAAGGACTTGGACCATCTTCCACCACACTCCCAGGTGCATTAGCTGGGAGCTAGATCAGAAGTGGAACAGCCGAGACTTGAACTGGCAACCATATGGGGTAGTAGCTTTACCCGCTACACCACAGCACCAGCCTCTGGAGACATGTCGCTTTTTTTTCATATTTATTTATTTATTTGAAAGTCAGAGTTTCACAGAGAGGAAAGTCAGAGAGAGAGAGAGAGGACTTCCATCTGGTGGTTCACTCCCCAGTTGGCTGCAACGGCTGGAACTGTGCAGATCTAAAGCTGGGAGCAAGGAGTTTCTTCTGTGTCTCCCATATAGGTGCAGGGGCCCAAAGACAAGGGCCATCTTCTGATTTCCCAGGCCGTAGCAGAGAGCTGGATTGGAAGTGGAGCAGCCGGGTTTTAAACCGGTGCCCATATGGGATGCCGGCACTCAGGCCAGAGTGTTAACCCGTTTCACCACAGCGCCGGCCCGGGGAGAGCTGTTTTTTCACATTTCCCTCCCTCCCTGGAGGCAGCAACATACACTGCTCAAAACGAGGGACCGCACCCATGGTGAAATTTAAAGGAGTCCATGCAACCTGGGTCTTTCTCCAAACTTTTCTTCCAAGGGACAAATAGCTGGCAATTAAACACCAAGATTAGAAGATGTGAGTCTAAAACTTGAAAATGACACATTTTACATACACAAATACTCTACGAATGAAAGCCCTGATGGTACTTCATATGATTTATAGCAGTAAATTAAAATCCCTAGATGAAATGAACTTAGTATTAGAAATCATAATCTCAAAAGTTACTCAAGGAGAAATGATAGTTTCTAATCAACGATAATGAGATCAGGAGGCAAAATCTCCCTCTAATGAATCTATCAGAGCCGTCATTGTAAAATCCAAACGTTTAATGAAGGGCTAAGTGTAGTGTTGTACAAAATTATAGAAAATAGTAAGAAAGGTAGCATAACTAACTCCTATAATCCTAGTTTAACATGACACAACCCCCTACAATAACTACCAGTACAAAATGTCCTTCAAGAATATAAATGCCAACATGATAGAAAATATGTTCACAACCCTAACCAGCCACGCACACAAAGGATGTACACTATGAGCTAGTTCCTTTCTTTCAAGAACCTTCGACTCCCAGGTACACAATTGTAGTATGACAGGCATCTGCTGACTCAAAAGCCCAACGCCATTTCCTGCAGCCACATTTCTAGTCCCAGAAGTTGGCACCGGTGTGTTCCTCTTTCAAAATGTCCTGGATTTCAGAACTGGGCATCTCGGGCACCACCTTGCTGTGTATCTTGCTCGTGAGGTTCTGTTGGAGAACTGAGTACCCGCAGAGCTGTGCTCAACACCTGCAAGAACGTGAGCTCTCCATCACCTTGACGATCTCCAGGCTGCTGCTGGGACAGAGGAAAAGGCACCCTGTTCTCTGCGCTGTTGTGATTCTGCTGCATTGGAAACTGGTCCTGGGAGGGCAGCTCCTGCCAGTAATCCAGAGGCTGCTGGGGCTGCTGAGGGTGCGTTCCCCAGCCATTCTGCTGCCATTCTTCACATAGTGGGTAACGAAGAGAGCTCTTCTGCTCCTGCAGCTGTTGCATTGCTCCCTGAGCACTGGGAACACTGGGTAGCAGGGAAGGCCAGTCAGGCTGCATGACCCTCATCTCTGACCTGGACCTCCCAAAATACGGTGCGGATGAAAAAGGATGAATAAACCTTGCTCCTGGAACGCCACGGGGAAAAGATCCACCTCCTACATTCCCTTGATTCTCCAGAGCATAGCTCGGTGCCTCTTGAGCACCTCGAACCCCAGAATCCCAGGAGCCGTAGAGCGGGCTGGGAACCTCCCAAGTGGGTGGAGTGGAGTAGACAGCTCCGCCCAGCACAGATGCCTGGGCAGCGTTGGGAGACCAATCCTGGGCATTCTGCAGGCTTACACCTGGGGGACCTTGGACAGGGAGTGCATATGGCATCCTGGCTTCAAGCACTTTGCGTCTCTTCTTGGCTGGTAGCCTGGCTCTTTTATTTTGGAACCAGTTCTAAAAAAGAAACGAAACAGAAATTACTTTCGAGTCTATATATTCGCCAATGTAGGAGAATTTTGTAGTTCATCTTAGGATCAGCGTCATCACTGATTTGCTTCGTGACCTTGAGGAAGACATGAAAAATGCAAGCATGCTTTCCTGGGGCTTCCTGTGTTATTATATTTATAATACGAGAATGCATTTACAGTAAATATGATATGTAAATGTATATATAAATATACATTTATGATAATTAAAATCATGTAATTTTGCACAATTCTGGATTCCCATCTGCCTTCACAGGAGGCACGGGCCCTTATGTATGAGCAAATCCCTATTTTTCCAAATCTTCTACCAACCTATTTGCACCCTCTGTATTTAGACGTGAAGCAGCTGTTCTCAAAATACATTCCCTTAGCTTGCTTATTTTACTCCAACTGCTTTTCCAGAATGAATTCCTAATTCAACATATTCTAAATCATATTCTAAATGTCATTTTCTTCAAAGGCCATACCCAAAACAAACAAGAGTCTGCCATAACTTAGAAGTATTACTTCATACCTTACTCTAAGTGTTTTGTGGAACCTCTACTCTTTACTTTTTATCCTTTGTAAAATGAGAGTAATTGGGGTCAGCGCTGTGGTGTAGTAGGTAAAGCTGCCACCTGCAGAACTGGCATTCCATATGGGCACCAGTTCAAGTCCTGGCTGCTCCATTCCAATCCAGCTCTCTGCTATGGCCTGGGAAAGCAGTGGAAGATGGCCCAAGTGCTTGGGCCCCTGTACCCACATGAGAGACCCAGAAGAAGCTCCTGGATCCTGGCTTTGGATCAACATAGCTCCGGCTGTTGAGGCCAGGGGGGGAGTGAACCAGCAGATGGGAGACCTTGCTCTCTCTCTCTGCCTCTCCTTCTCTCTCTCTGCCTCTCCTTCTCTCTCTCTGTGTAAATCTGACTTTCAAATAAATAAATCTTTTTCAAAAATAACACATACTATACTTTAATATAGTCACATCCACAATGACATGAAGAAGCAATGGGACCAAATTTCAACGCTGTTTTATGTGATGAAATGCTGTTATACTTTTTCATAATTAGTTGATTTTTTATTATTGTCCACAAAGACATATTCATGTAAATATCTACGTAGTTTATGTACCTCGATTGTGTAAAACGAACAATGGAGTTTTTTGACCAGTTCCTCCTTGGTCGTATAGTCGGGATAAGGACTCTCTGCAAATGATTGATTCAGTATGTGCAGTTCCTCAGGTGTAAATTTATGGCGTGCTTTTCCTTTTCTTCTTCCATGTTGTGTTTCTATGTTGTCATGACTGTCTCCTGAAAAATACAGAGAGAAAACACAAGAGTATTAGGAAGATCCAGAAAAACAAAAGACCTCTGTGAGAGAATAAAATTTTAGAAAGGTGATACCTTCCCTCTTACCTAGTCATAATAAAATGAATAATGGACTGTGGGCATATCTTTTGAAACTTATGGTGAGAAGATGATAGTATTTAGGTCATAAAGGTAACAGGAGTGAAGAAGGTTTTCTTTAGTGAAAATTGATATACTACAAAGACAGAGATGGTGGGAAAACACTCAGCCCCACTAGTAATTGAGGCAATGTAAATAAACCAGCTGACAACAATCTGGTAAACAATAATTTAAATATATGGGGGCAAAGTGCGAAAGGACTAACACGGATTGACAAGGATAGGTCTGGTACCCCTATTGCTTGTTATCACTGCGTGGGCTTTTTTGCTCAATGCAATGAAGTCGAAAGTGGCCATACTCTCCACTGTGTCAATCAACTAAATGGCACTTAAAGATTTAACACCAAGTCTACAGGTCATTTTTCCTTCACCCGTGTCAGACATGCCAGCAGGAGGAAAGCACCGAGGATCTAAACCTGTCCTCTGGTGTGTGCTCATCTCCCGGATGCTGGAAGGGGAGCAGACCTTACAGACAAACCAACGTTGGCACAGTTCTCTACTGCAGAGGCCACCAGAAGAACTGACACGAGGCAATCCTGTTTTTCTTAAATCAGAATTTAAGTGAAAAAACTTACAAGGACTGCAAACCGAATTAACAACCTTCATATGTCTGCTTCAAAGGGTATAACCTAGCTGCCGGGGGTTGGGCTGCAGTATGTTAAGTTCCCCCTGAGGACATCAGCATCCCATATGAGCAATGATTTGAGTCCATCTGCTCTACCAGTCCAGCCCCCCGCTGAAGCCCCTGGGAAAGCAGTGGAAAACTGGCCAAGTGCTTGGGCCCCCACCACCCATGTGGGAGACCCAGATGGAGTTCCATGCTCCTGGCTTCTGCCTGGCCCAGCCCTGGCCATTGCAGCCATTTGGGGAGTGAACCAGAGGATGGCAGATCTCTGTGTGTCTCTCTCTCTGTCACTCTGTCTTTTAAATAAATCTTTTTAAAAAGGTCAATCTGAACATACTATAGACTACCTAAGGCAAAACCGGAGACACTTCATCACAGAAACTGTGACATTCAAAATATAGTGTGGACATCGCAAATGATCACGTGTGGAGAGAGACAGAGAGGGAGAGAGGGAAAGAGGGGGCAGGGGAGAGAAGAAGGAGAGATAAGGAGATGGGGAGAGAGGGAGAGAGAAAGAGGGAGAGGGGAGAGGGAGAGAGGGAGAGAGAATGGGGGAGAGTGAGAACAGAGCTGAGGAAAGGGTCAGGAAGTCAGCCACCAAACCTCCAAATACACAAACCCCGAAAGCCCGTTGCTGTTCTCCTCGACTCCCCTTCCTTCAGCTTTCTCTAGCCTCTGCTCCCAGAGCACACCTGCACACCAAGTAGCTACTAGAGCAGGACTGTGGGGGACAGCGCGACAGAGAGGTGCCAGTAAGAAGTGCTGGATTGGGCTGGCACTGTGGAGTAGCAGGTAAAGCTGCTGCCTGCAGTGCTGGCATCCCATATGGACACTGGTTCTGATCCAGCTCTCTGCCACAGCCTGGGAAAGCAGATGATGGCCCAAGTCCTTGGGCCCCTGCACCCACATGGGAGATCTGGAAGGAGCTCCTGGCTTCAGGTTGGCACAGCTCTGGTCATTGCAGACAACTGGGGAGTGAACCAGCAGATGGAAGGACCCTCTCCCTATTCTCTTTCTCTCCCTCTCTGTTTGTCTGCCTCTCTGTAATTCTGCCTTTCAAATAAATAAAATAAACCTTCAAATAAAATTTTAAGAAGTATCTTAAGCATTTGGCAGTGAAATGGAGCTATGTGGGTTTTTTTAAAAAACATTTATTTATTTGAAAGTCAGAGTTACACAGAGAGAGGAGAAGCAGAGAGAGAGAGAGGTCTTCCATCTGATGGTCACTCCCCAATTGGCTGCAATGCCTGAGCTGTGCTGATCCCAAGCCAGGAGCCTGGAGCTTCTTCCAGGTCTCCCACGTGGGTGCAGGGGCCCAAGGACTTGGGCCATCTTCCACTGCTTTCCCAGTCCATAGCAGAGAGCTGGATTGGACGTGGAGCAGCCAGTTCTCAAAATGGCACCCATATGGGATACCGATGCTTCAGGATAGAGCATTAACCCTCTGTGCCACAGCGCCAGCCCCCACAAAAATTTTTTAAAAGTATTATAGGGCCGGGGCCCAAGGCTCACTTGGCTAATCCTCCACCTGCAGAGCCGGCACCCCAGGTTCTAATCCCGGTTGGGGCACCGGATTCTGTCCCCATTGCCCATCTTCCAGTCCAATTCTGCTGTGGCCCAGGAAGGCAGTGAGGATGTCCCAAGTGCTTGGACCCTGCACCCACATGGGAGACCAGGAGGAAGCACCTGGCTCCTGGCTTCGGATTGGCACAGCGCGATGGCCGCAGCGCCCATTTTGGGGGTGAACCAAAGGAAAAGGAAGACCTTTCTCTCTGTTTCTCTCTCACTAACTCAGCCTGTCCAGGAAAAAAAAAATTATACATTCAGGGCTGGTGTTGTTTCATGGCAAGTTAAGCCTCTGCCTCCAGTGCCAGCATGCCATATGGGTGCCAGCTCAAGTCCCAGTTGCTCCACTTCCCATCCAGCTCCCCGCTTAGCCCTGGGAAAGCAGCAGAGGATGACCCAAGTGCTTGGGCCCCTGCACCATGTGGAAGGCCAGGAAGAAGCTCCTGGCTTCAGCCTGGCCCAACCCTGGCCGTTTGCTGCCATTTGCGGAGTGAACCAGTAGATGGAAGATCCCTCTCTCTATCTCTCTGTAACTGTGCCTTCCAAATAAATATAAATAAATGTTTTTAAACATACAGATTATATGAATAATTGGTGTAAAGCATTTTGTATAAACCCAAATTCAAACAGAGAACACACTGTTGGTTGGCACTCTTTCCTTCAGAACAGGCAAAGAGGGGATAAGAGCGCTTTCTGCTCCCAGCAAAACTTCCCTGGGGAGCATCTATCGCTGAGGTGCTCCAGGGTATCTGGTCCCTACCCCCAGCCCGGCCACTCACTAGAACTCCACAGGAAAAGTTCCCAGTATTTCTGACCAGCAATTTGTATACCTTTAACACACATTTTAAAAACACACTGGTTGTTGTTTTGTTTGAAATCAAATTTGTTTGTTTAAATAAAATCTCAGCAGTAAAACTGGCAGCTGAGCCCACAATCTTCACCTGGGAGGCCCCTCCCTCCCCTGTGGTCCAGAGCAGCTTCTGGAAGGGCTTCACACCCTAAGGGCACCATTGTTCTGGGGCCTTGGATTTTGCCTTTGGGACAGAGTGAGGAGCTGAGGGGGCTCCCCCTCCACCATGGGCACTTTCCAAGGATTTTCTGAAGACCTCCTAGAGCTGGGAGGCCTCTGAAAGCTGATTGAGATGTCACACTCACAAGCTGCCAGACAGACTGGCGCTGACCCAGGACTTCTCTCACCCAGTGCTTGTTTAGAGAAAGAAGTCAGGGCCAGAACCCCAAGACTTCAGAACTCCAGCTTTTATTTTATTTTATTTTATTTTATTTTATTTTATTTTATTTTTTGACAAGCAGAGTTACTCAGTGAGAGAGAGACAGAGAGAAAGGTCTTCCGTCCATTGGTTCATTCCCCAAATGGCCATAACGACCGGCGCTGCCTGAAGAATCTAACTTGGCTCCAATAGAAGAAGTCCTCAGAGAAACGAATATCATGAAACACCTATTCTTGGTTTCAAAGTTTGTTTGCACCAAAACATTTCTGAATTCCACTATTCCACCGACACTGTGAAGTTCCCTGCTCCAGCATTACATGACCAGTGCTGTTTCCTCCCCCTACCCTTCCCATCTTTCCCCACACCTCCAACCCCTTCATACTGAAGGGAACCCAAGACACTGTTCTACCTAAACTACTTCCAGGTACATCTTTAAAATGCAGAAAACTTTTTAAGGCAACCCCAAGTTGGGTTAATTTTTAAACACCTGAGCCTTTGGGAAATCCTACCCCTGCATTCAGCCAGGTGGTAGCCAGAGACAATGACACCTGTGACACTAGTGGCCCCTGGACCACGAGCCTGCACTTCTGAAAGACGAAAGCCCAAACCCCCACAGAACACCAGGACAGCGAGAACCCGGCCTTGCCGAAAGCCGCACATGGAAACTCACCACTGGTAGCCATGTCTGGGAGCCCTCCTGAGACCGTCTTCTTGGGCAGTGAAGTGAGGGCTGCTGGTACAGCGTTCATTTAATATAAACCTGGGATGGCCACCCTAGGCACGCCTTAGACCCAGCCCTTCTCCAGCCCCTGCCACACCCTACACACAGCTCCCCCTAGGCACAACAGGATTTCCAAAATCTCCATTTGTATCTCCAGTCACTGAACACCAATGGGAACTAATTTTCTCATGTAGCCAAATGATAACTGATAACTGAGAGTTTGGAGGCTGCTGAGGCCAGAGACGCACAGCGAATGAGGACGTTAAAGAATATAAGACTGCAGGCATTGTGGCAAAGCTTGTTAAGCTGCCATGTAGGATGCCCCCAGCCCATAGCAGAGTGTGGGTTCCAGTCCCAGTTACTCTGCTCCCAATCCGGCTTCACACCAAAGTAGCCAGGGAACCAGCAGGTGATGGCTCAGGTGCATGGGCCCTATAGCCTACACTGGGAGACCTGGATGCATTTCTAGGTTCCTGGCTTCAGCCTGACCCAGCTTTGGCTGTTGTAGACATTTGGGGAGTGAACCAGCAAACAGAAGGTTTCTCTCTCTCTTGCTCTCTCTCACTCAGCCTCTCAGGTACACAAAAATAAATGGTTTTCAGAAGTCAGCATAAGGGGCCAGCATTAAGGTATAGTGGGTATGGCAGCATCCCACACGGGTGCTGGCTCATGTCCTGGCTGCTGCACTTCCCATGCAGCTCCCTGCTAATGGCTTGGGAAAGCAGTGGAAGATGGCCCAAGGGCTTGGGACCCTGCCACCCACATGGGAGACTCAGAAGAAGCTCCAGGCTCCTGGCTTTGGCCTGGCCCAGCCTTGCCTGTTGCAGCCATCTGGGAAGAAGATTCTTCTCTCTCTCTCTCTCTCTCTCTCTCTCTGTAACTCTTTCAAATAAAAACAAATCTTAAAAAGTCAATATAAGTCTAACATCATACAGTAATTAAATCATTGAAATAATTTATTCAAAACAGCCAAAACCTCCATAGAATAGTTTGAGAACTGGACATCTGAAAGGAGACTAGGGCTGAGAGAAAACAAACTAAAATTAAGTTGGGGAGCCGATGCTGTGGCATAGTGGGGAGAGCTGCCGCCTGCCATGCCGGCATCCCATATGGACACTGGTTCATGTCCAGGCTGCTCCACTTCTGACCCAGCTCTCTGCTACAGCCTGGGAAAGCAGTAGAGGATGGCCCAAGTGCTTGGGTCCCTGCACCGCATGGGAGGCCTGGAAGAAGCTCCTGGCTCCTGGCTTCAGATCAGTGCAGCTCCAGCCATTGCGGCCAGTTGGGGAGTGAACCAGAGGATGGAAGATCTCTCTCTCTCTCTCTTCCCCCCTTCTTCTCTCTCCGTGTAGCTCTGACTTTCAAATAAATAAATAAATCTTTAAAAAATTAAGTTGGACCTAGCCCGGTTTCCCTGGCTTTTTTTTTTTTTTTTTTTTTCCTGTAATTCAAAGTTCTTTACCTCAGCACCGTGAATTTCCACTAGATGGTGCCTTTCCCTCTTCCATCAAACTTGTTTCAAAGAATATTTTGACCAGGTGAATTCACTTGCTTTTATGCTCTCCCCAACTCCAGGCAGTCACTTCTATTCTCATGCCAGTATTTAGACATCACTGGCAAAGGTCAACATACCAGCTCCCACACTGCCCAATCGTAGGGTTCACCTTCTAAATCATCAACCTTTATTGGACAATCTCTCTTTTTCTACCTGAACAACTCAGGAGAGTTTTCATATTTTTCCTGTGGACCTTGACTTCGGGGGATGTTCACTGAGTAGTGCATTGACCTTGCTTTGTTAAGATTTACAGGCGTTGCTGGGGCATAGTAGGCCGAGCCTCTACCTGCATCACCAGCATCCCAGTTCCAGTCCCAGCTGCTCCTCTTCGGATCTGGTTCTGTGCTGTGGCCTGGGAAAGCAGTGGAAGATGACCCAAGTGCTGGGGCCCCAGCACCCGCATGGGAGACCAGGAAGAAGCTCCAGGCTCCTGGCTTTGGATTGGCCCAGCTCTTACTGTTTCAGCCATTTGGGGAGGAAACCAGCAGATGGAAGACTTTTCTCTCTGTCTCTCCCTCTCTCTCTCTGTAACTCTATCTCTCAAATAAATAAATAAAACCTTTAAAATGTTATTTATTTATTTGAAAGCCAGAGAGAGAGAGAGAAAGAGATCTTGCCTCTGTTGGTTCACTCCTCAGATGGCTGCAATGGCCGGAACTGCACAGATCCAAAGCCAGGAGCCAGGAGCTTCCTACAGGTCTCCCACACGTATGCAGGGCCCAAGGACATGGGCCATCCTCCACTGCTTTCCCAGCCCACAGCAGAGAGCTGGATCAGAAGTGGAGCAGCCAGTTCTCAAACTGGCACCCATATGGGATGTCAGTGCTTCAGGCTAGGGCGATAACCTGCTAAGCCACAGCTTATCCTATATGCCTGCCTATGACACCAACACACACCCAATCCTGTGTATTGAGCCCTGCCGTGTAGGTGTGACCAGCACAAATATAGTCCCTGAAATCAGTATTCAGGTGAACTTTAGAAACACATGCCTCCCAATTATCACCTACAAGGAAAAGCCAGAACTTGGGGGAACTCCTGGCAGCTCTATGACCTGGCTCCCACTCCTGTTCAGCTTGGCCTTGGAGAATCACCACTGGCCAACTGTGAGCTCCCACCAGGCTTGTACATGTCTGAGAACTGAAAAACTCTGTCCTGCCAGCCTGTACACCTGTTTCAAGTGCTACAGGAAGAGTTCCCAGTGATGCTGGAAGAAAATGCTTTGACCACAATCAAGTTATCAGCATGGCAATTTTGATAAAGGTCATCGGTTTAAAAAAAAAGTGTGGTAACAAATGAACTTGAGATTCTGGTGCTCTACAGAGTGGACTTGTGTTTCCTAAATGTCTTTTCTCTGGACTTTTTATTATTATTATTATTATTTCCCAGAAGTTTGGAATTTTTTTCACTTTTGGGATCAATGACTTATATATTCATTTCCCCCATTGTTTCTGTGATGTCAACAGTTTAACTTACAAGT